AAAATAGGGGAAAATGTGGGAAAATGGGAGGGAAAATATGGGGAAAATTGGGGGGAAAATAGGGAATAAATGGGGGGAAAATTGGGGGAAAAATGGGGGGAAAATGTGGAAGAAATGGGGGGAAAATGGGGAGAAAATATGGGAAAATGTGAGGAAAACATGGAAAAAACGTGGAAAAACAGAAAAAAAGATGGAAAAACGTGGGGAAAATAGGAGGGGAAATGGAAAAAATATGGGAAAAATATGGGAAAGCATGGAAAAAACATGGGAAAAATATGGAAAAAATGTGAAAAACCATGGAAAACCTGAATTTCAGACTGATGGAATTCCAGGATCACAGAATTCCTGGAATTCCACGATAACTAAATTAGGAAATCCTGGATTTAAGAGCTCACGGAATTGTGGAATTCCAAAATTAGGGAATGAAGGATGGAATTTTGGGGTGCTGGAATTCCAAAATCAGGGAATTCCCATTAAAATCATGGAAATCCTGTAGAAATTCCAAGGAATGGATGGAAAATTCCCCAAAAAATTCCCAAAAAATTCCCCATCCGAGGTCGCTGCCGTCCCTCCCTTTCCCGTTTTTCCCATTTTTCCCATTTTTTCCCCAAAATTCCCACCTTGAAGATGCTGAACAAGCCCTGGGATTTCCTGAAGGCGTCGGATTTCTCAAATTCCTCCAATTTTTCCAAAGTTTCTTCCAGGTGGTTCCGGGCGCAGATCCCGAAGCAGCACGAGAGACCCTGAGGGAATTTTGGGAATAAAAACCCCGGGAAAGAATTCCTGGAGTTTTTTTCCAGGTTCTTGGGGTGTGCCAAGGGAATTCCCAGCTGGAATTTTGGGAGGGAATTCCCGGCTGGGATGGAATTTTGGGGGTTTTGGGTTTGGAATTTTGGGAAAGTGGGGAGTGGGAATGGTGGAAAAGGTGGGGAAAAAGTGGGGGAAAAGTGGGGGAAAAGTGGAGAAAAGGTGGAAAAAACTGGAAAAAAATTGGAAAACAGATGGGAAAAAAAGCTGGAAAAACTAAAAAAAAAGATGGAAAAAAGATGGGAAAAAACCTGGAAAAAACTGGGAAAAAAATGGGGGAAAAGTGGAGAAAAGATGGGAAAAACTGGAAAAAAATTGGAAAACAGATGGAAAAAAAGCTGGAAAAAGCTAAAAAAAACATGGAAAAAAAGGATGGAAAAAACTGGGAAAAAAATGGGGAAAAAATGGGGGAAAAGTGGAGAAAAGGTGGGAAAAAAGGTGGGAAAAAATGGAAAAAAACTGGAAAACAGATGGGAGAAAAAGCTGGAAAAAGCTAAGAAAAAGATGGAAAAAAGATGGAAAAAAAGATGGAAAAAAGATGGAAAAAA